AAAATAATTTACCAGGCTACCCTGCAAAACAAGGGTTTTCCTTCTACCTAAGGGAACTAAAATGGCTTATTGTAGCCCCCAAACAAGAACCTGTTGAATGTCAGCTTTTTGAAATGAGATCCAAAATAATTTTCTGCATAATAGAATGTGCACTCAGAATAAAATGTCAAGTATTGAATCCTGAAGATAAGCTGCAATCTTAACTCTACATTCTTTTGCATAGGTATTACAGTGAATGATCAGATATGGAGGTAGTAAGTGAAAAAAAATATAATTCTTGCTCAGTTCAATTTTTCTGAATCAGTTATTCTGCACAGTAGGTATAAGGTGAAGAGATATAATAGAAGCAATAATGATGCTTTGCAGAATGGAACATCTCCATTAAAGTAAAACTATAGAGCTGGTGTCAGCACTTTGCTGGTTGTCTTGCAGCTGAGCAAACCCTAGAAGATCATTTGCTCGATTTTTTAATGACAGAAGCACTCGCTGCTTTCCAAACACGGCACATACAGGATTTGCAGTACGTTACTGTGTATGTTACTTAGTATGTTCTGAAATGAATATGGTAAGCATTTGCAGCAGCAGCTACAAAGAGGCAGAAAGCATTCTTTATGGAAGCTATTTAACATACTCAAAGAATGAGTAAAAAGAAGTAAAAGTGTATTTAAAAATACAGGATTAGCAGGAGCTTTCTATCTCTCAATGAACAGTACCTTATCATCTCAGGCAATGCACCATGTAAACCTTTTCATAATGCATCAACTTTATCTCACAAATTGTAAGTGGAGTTTTTCCCCTAATGACTCCTTTGAAAAATTACATTAAACCTGTTTTTATTGATGGTTAGGAATATTATCATAGTATCTTCTAATTGCCAGACTAAATGTGCTTATAAAATATCCACAGACTTTTCAGAGAACAGCACTCTGTTGGTGTGAGCTCTATGGTGTATACATATGATGAGACAGTCTCTCTTTCAGTTATCATTTTGCTGAACCATGCAACTGGATGTTGGGTTGGTAAAAGTCATGAATATGTTTTCAGAACTAGAGTCAGTGCTAAGAATAATTATTTTTCTACTTCCACATCCTTTAAAATAAAATTTTCTGAGAGAAGAATTGCAACAACTTTTATTCACAAAACAAAACAAAAACTTAAGAGAACAAAAACCCTTCCAAATGATGAAACTTTTTTAGAATGCTTGTACATAAAGTTGAGATGGAGTGTTGAAAATGAGAATAAATCCAATAATAAACACTTTTTTTTTTTTTCATTTTTCATTCATTCCAATTTTCTCTGCTCACCACATTAAAAAATGCTTGAGACTGGAACTTACCTATAAACCAAGCAGACTTTTTCATGCTGAAACCTAAACTCTAAAATACACAAACCCCAATCTTTTTCTACTGAAATAAATTTGAGCCTGAATTTCAACGAGTTACTCCAGGGGAAAAAATATATATATATAATAATAAATATATATATATATATATATTCTTCAGCATCTCTGCTATAGTTTAGTTTACTACAGTGAACTGAGTGAACTGAGTGAGGGAAATTAAAAGAAATGAAACACCTGTGTTTTATAAGCACTCCCTTGAGTTTTGTGATTCCACATTGCAGTGGTTGGATCAAAGAATGGTTTGCTCATTCTTTTAACTAAGGTATCTCACAACTGGCTGAAGCTTTAAAATAAGCAGTTACATGTAGTTCGATCCTTGAAGAGACTTTAGGAATTCTCTACTAAAAGCAAACTGTCCAAAACATTAAACCATATCATCCAACCTATACTTAGAGATCAGCTAAGCTTCAACTTCGATTGAGCATTTTTGTATTTTCTTAAGAATTGTGATTTACAATTCTTGACATTACATGACTGTAAAATAAAAACTACCCAGAGACACAAGGCCAAACTCAGTTCCTGAATGAATGGAATATTCAACATATGATGTTAGGAACTTTCAGTAATTTGGAAGCAAGAGCAATTTTCACTGTCTCATATTCCTGAGATGATTCTAAATGATGAAATTGTCTCCTGTTTTTTTGTTTGTTTGTTGTTGTTGTTTGTTTGTTTTTGCTTGCCTTTTTTTTTTTTTAATGGTCTTTGCTGCAGTTCTCAGGCTCAACTCTTTCTACAGTTGAGTCTAATTGCTCTGTTGGATAATCTGAGACCATGAAATAAATATTTCTGAGAAGTACAGAATTGTCAGTTTCAAGGTAATAAATTCAGAAAATACAGTGAGAAATGACTCTTCCGCAGATGTCTGCTATCCATGAGCTGCCATCCATGAGTTGGCTAAGCTGCCAGCTGAGCAAAAGGCAAGGAAGGTTCAGACAGGCCTTCTTAGCTAATCTTTTAAAGGCTTGTCTTATATATTAATTTCTAACAAAACTTTCCAACACGACATGCGTTAGCATGGACCATTGATACCTCTACTAGTGCTGAGACAGAAAACAAATTCAGGACTGCAGTTTTCAAAAGTCAAGTCAGGAAGACAGGGACAAGGTCACCAAGGTACAAGACTGGGTACAGAAGAAGGTACAAAACAGCTCAGGAAAAGCAGAAGGAGAGTTTATGGTGTAAGCGGAGGGCACACTGTACCAATGAGCACTAGTGCAATCATATTGATGGGAAAATGAAAGATGATGACTCTGTCATATCTGAGCACTTTGGCCGGTGTTTTTGGTGTTGTTTTTTTTGTTTGTTTTGGATACTTATCTGTTCAAGAAATGAAGTTTAAATGTGCTTTTCATGTATTGCTATTACTATTTTTACCATGCAAAGCATTACAGATACGTGTACTTCATTCTACTTCTCTCAAAAGTGCTCCTCTTTGCAGGGAGGTGTCATTGGTTTACAAGTTTTGTAAATGAGGAAATTTGCTTACTTTACAGAATAGATTTTCAGCTCAGAATCACATCAAATATGATAATGCATGAAAACAGCAACATACCCTTGCAAAACATTTGAGGAAACAGACGTTGAAATTGTAAATGTGAAACAGTAAGTATAGAATTTGAGCTTTTACAGGAAAAATAACACATTGTAGCAAACACAACATTTCTGTACATAAATGATTGCAAATAGCATATCTTGTAAAATATTCTAAAATAAATTACTTATTGAATTACTTAAATTACTAAATTTTTGTAATACATTCATGATTTTTTACAATTTGACTTGCAATTTAAAAAGGGGTTGTAACAGAAAGATGATAATTTTTTGTGATGGGATAAAGTCTCATTGTGAGTCACAGTAAGCAACTTTGCATAGTGCTGTAAAATCCTGCAGTTTGTTTAACAATGGCTCTAGCAGGTGGCATATGGCTAATACCAAGTCTGTCACTATCTCCAGGGTGCCAGACATTCCTCAAATTTTCTGTGAGAGGAATTTTTTGGTAGATTTGGATTGTAAAGGCACGTGAGCATCTGCTGCCTTCTCAATCTCATTATCGTTGACAGAGTTAACTCCTACAGTTCTTAATGTGGTAGCCAGGGAAAGAAGCTCAACTTTTCTCTTTCACCATAGACAGTGATTTTGACAAGGTCTTGAACAAATGCTCCATTCAAATACAAAGAGAGATGTAATTGTAGAGTAAATGTAAGTTTTTGAAGGTCTATTAGAAACCATAAAACCAAAAACAAACAAACAAAAAAACACACTAACATGATTTCTTGATCAATGTTATTACTATTTTTAAGATGAATTCTTAGGTCAAGATTAAAAATTTTGCATTGTCTTTCCTTTACCGTTATTTCAAGAGAAAACCAAGACTTGAAGGAAAATATTGAATCCAAGTTTATCCAAAGTTAGAAACATCTGAAATATTTGCCCTTTATATTAGATATTATATTACTATCATTCACCATAATATTTAAATGATTTGCAAGTAAAATCAAGTGCAATAAAATCCATAATAAGCTCAAAAGAGTCTGGAACTTTCTCTCTTCTCTGTTTTAGACAAGCCTTTTGCTTTTATGGACTGTTACTCAGTTCTTTTTCTATTGCTCTTAAATTACTGACAGCTTTAAGAAACATGAAAGACATGGGAGAAATTAAGTTAAAGGAAGCAGTAGTGTCTACTTAGAGTGTCCACTTATTTTTGTGTACTATAATTGCTTTTCTTAGGGCTTGTTTAAACTCAGTATCTCCCCATAAATTTTACCACTGGTGAATTTGAGTGAAGAAAAATTTCCTAATGATGAGCCAGTGGAAAGAAAAAAAAAAAAGAAAAAAAGGTGAAGTTCTGTAGTATATTTCATTGTATAAATTAGGCTCTCAAAGTTGGAATTGGCTGGAATGTTATGCTTTAGGTCTAAGAGAACTCGATTTTTCACTGCTTACAGTTCCCCAGCACCAAAAAGTTTTGAAATGTAGAGCACTGGCAGACAAATGCATTTTCTGTTCAGCCAGTCCATGACCTACTGATGCCTGCCAAGTCACCACACTGAACTAAAAGGTAATCTTCTTGTCCTTTCTTTATTATCACTTTTAAAATTCCACTATTTACACCATAAAAATCACATCAGATTCACACCTTCAAAGAAATATTCTACTTGTGTCCTAAAAATGTACTTGCTTAAAGAGCAAAGACTCAGGAAATGTTCCATCTAAATAACTTTTGAAAAAAGAAAAGTGAAGCATGGTAAAACAGAAATGTTTACCTTATGATGCTAGTAAAACACTTCAATTTTAATGTGGTGTAAAAGCAACAAGGCACGCTTTAATATTTCTAATTCTATCAAAACACAAGGAGCAGAATGGAAATAGCCAACTGGAGAAGACTGTTTTCTCTGCAGCATTTTCTGTTTTGGAGGGTTGGAAATAAATCAGTCCATCTAGTCCATCCAGCCTAAATGTTGTTATCTGTGGGATCCTGTAAGTGAAGCTAGGACGTGTCATCTACAGGACAGCTGCAACTGCTGTCCAGAGATGGTGGCATATAAGCAGGAAAGATGTTGCCAATTTTGAAATAGCCAGAGGGAAAGAGAAATCTCTCTAGGAGCAAGTAATGATCCATTTATTTGTTTTTAATACAAATCAAACCAGTGCTAGTACCCTGCCTATAGGGGGACAAATGCATCTTTTCCATAAAAACATTTAGGGAATAAAAGCTTTCACAGAAAAATAATATATATATTTTTTTGCCTGTTTTATGAAAAAAGTTTTCATACACAATTCCCCTTGCTGGTTTTGACCTGTCACAAAGTACAAGCCAGATACACAGAACATAGTAAGTTGCCATATTTTTCTTTACCATGAAATGTTGATAATGAGAACTATTTTAAACCTTTAAAAAGGAATGCACACATCCTTAAAGGTCCCAATGCTTCGAGTACTATGTGCCCAGCATTAAGCTCAGATGTTGCATTGCCAATCTAATAACTAAAATCAGCACTTCTAATAAGCTTTTTTGTGGGAGGAGCAGTTGAAGGAAAGCAACCCAAATGCTGATTGGCCAGAAGCAGAAATAATAATGTATACTTGATAGCACCTCTCTTTCTATTTTAGAACGTCTCAAAAGATTTGACCGAGGAAAAAGATGGTGGCCCCTGACATGAATCACTGGCCACTCTTTGTGGAAGCCTGACATAGATTAGCATTACAACTCAAGAAAACAGGAAAATCATCACAACAGGAATCATGAAGTACAGAAGTTGTCAAAGGCAATGGTCTCAGAAGACACATAACTGAGTCAACGCCTTTGGAATATTTTGTACAACACGGCTGCCAGAAGCAGACTATTTCCCAGATTCTTTAGATGGCCAGAACAAGAAAAAGTGGCAGCATGTGGAATACAATCTTATCTTCAGGTTTGAATTAAGTAGACGTGCAGTTAGACGTATAGTACTAAGTATGTAAATATCTGCTTAAAACTTTCGTAAGTATTCTCTTTTTACTCCTACAATACATATGAATCATGCTTCTTTTCTGTTAATGAACAGTTCACAAATAAAGTGAGAGACCCTAAGAAGAAAAAAATATAAAGAAATGAAAGAAACGTATAAATTAAATACATTGGAAACAATGCTTATCTTAATAACTAAAGGTTAACTGATACGGAGTACTCCAGTTTTTGAGGTCTTCACTAGCACGTACAGTTCTTTAAATCTCATGTAGAGGAAAATATATTGGTTTTTGCATAATTCTTGCTTTTATTCCAAACAGGAAATAAGTCAGAGGATCGTTGAAGCTTTCAACCAATTGCTGTGGGACAAAACACATTCTTCATGATGTGAATCTGAAGATCAAGCCTGAGCTTGTGGTTTTTCCTAAAGTCATGGATCCTGAGGACCCTCAGGCTCCCTGAGTGTTTTCTGTGTACATCATGGTGTAAAGAAGAATGACACTGAAGGTGGTTTCTCCATAAAGATAGAAAGAATTAAGCAAGTGCCCAAAAAGACATTGAGGTGTGAAGCCAGAAACCTCTTTATTCACTAGCACATTGTGATGTAACCCTGCCTAGCTTTTGCCATTACTTCAATGGAATCACTGTCATAAAAACATCCAATTTTGATGACTGAGCAAAGTTCTAATGGATTTTTTCTAAATGTCTTTCAAAATGTTTAGTACCAGAGGGTGATTTTTCTAACATTGGTCAAGATATATGGTTCTTTGTTTTATATATTTTTTTAATAATCTCTGTGTGGAAGGCAAATAGTGTGCTATTAATCATACGTGTGATAGTTTTATATCTTTAACACCCATGTTAGAAATGAGAAAATGTTAGACAAGGAAATAAATCATAGAACAGATGCTCTGTATGCTTGTCTTACCTTCCTGTTCTACTTCTACCTTTGGTGTCAACATAGTACGTAGTACATCATATGTACAACATGCAGTTCATTGCAGGCACAGAAATCAGTTATTCATGTTTCCCATGCTTAATACTATTGATTAAAAAACATCTTGCAAAACGCATCACAAAAAAATATCGCTACAGATATCTGTTTGAATTGGCTTTTGACAGTTGCTTACACTATGCTACTAACAGTAAGGTTTAGAACTATTTTAGAATTATTTATTCTTGCCATGGAGTTGCAAAAAGGTTTATCTCACCTCATGATGTAGCACTTGCAAGAACTGGTACTAGAGGCAGGGGGCTGCCCTATCCTGGAGTACATAGGTAGGTCTGTAGCACACATCTGAATGACAGTGTATCCCAAACAACAGAATATACAATATACAGAATAAAAACCTCCAAGGATGACATCCTATCCCCCAAATACTTCAAAAGCTGAATATTAGACCCATTTTTTCATTTAAATTTCTTCCTATCCATTTATTTCTCATCTCAGCATTAGTGCTGTAGCTTATCTAAAACTAAAGGCAACTTGAGTCACCATTTGATGCTTTCCAGGATGGGTGGGTCACTATCAAATATGCACATGTGCAATCATATTTTGCAAGTACTGAATACATTATAAAATACTTAACACAGTTCAACTGTTTTCTTATTTCCTGTCTTTGCATCTCACTCATGTCATGCCCACATCAGGGCATGTGACTCAATGTTGTGTCCAGGCAGGTTTGGGATATAACATTACTTCTCCTGGAGGAGCAAGAAATATCATGGTTGGAACAGACTGGTAAGCAGCAGACTGAGAATTGCTTTGAAAGAATGATGTAATACTTGCTTTTAGCGCAAGGCACAGCGTGTTAATTAAAACCTTTTCTGAGTGCTCTAGAAAGGACATATAGTATCAAGCAAAACCACTTGCAGTCCTTGAAATAAAATTTTTCTCGTCTTTGAGGAGAGAAAACCACCAGTTAAGGCTTCAACCCATATTGTCCTGCTACATCAGCAATTATGTCAGTCATGAGAGTTTCAGCAAAAAAACAGTCCAACAATTGTTTTATCTGGAACAACACAGCTTTTACAGTGAAAACCACAAATAACCCAGTACAGTCTAACTTCTTAGAGCTTGTCCTAAACTGGTCACATTGCTGGTATGCCACTTACTTCTGTCCAAGAGAATAAAGATGTCTTCTAAATAAACTAGGTCACATTATGAAGTTGACAGATATTAATCTTCTCCCTTGATTTTGTTTTATAACACTCCCTGAAATTAGATAACAAAACTGAGACAAGGGAGTATGACTGAAACATCTTTGAAATTTGCCAGAACCCACGGTATTAAAGATTTCAGTCTTTGTCAAATACAAAGAGAAAGCCTGATCAAAAGCAGACATGTTATATACTGCTTGGCTCTAGAAATATTCTAGGCAGTGTTAGCATGGGTTCCTATGAGATATCTAACTTCTGAGCACAGTAGATTTTGTTGATTAAACAACTTGTTGTAAAATGTAAAGTTCCATTCTAAACATCATTTCCTTTGTAATTTCAGGAATAAACATAAGTTATTTTCATGTGACCATTAGACAGTATAACATATTGGGTAAAGGTTAAGCAGAAAGCAAAGCTAATTTGTACCTTTAAGGGCTAGAAATACTGGAGTTATCTCAGTCTCACACATGGACTGAGATATGGACATGAACCCACATGGATAATTAGGGAGATTCTTCTTGAAAATGCTGTATTATTTTCTTGAAAATGCTGTATTATTTTGCATGTTTTTATTTTATTATCATAGTAAAAGCTGTTTTTTTTTTTGTTTTGGTTTGGTTTGGTTTTTGAGAAATGTTTTATTTTTAAACTAGGGTGGTATTCTCCTTTTTCATGGAGAATGCTAAAAAGGAAGAATATTCTATATGTAAACATTGAAGTCCTACATTAACTATTTAATATGCAAGAGACCGCATACTTTTAGAGCAGGATACAGTAATAAAAAGTCATACAAATCACGACTATGTTCTTGAATGATTCTCAACTATATAAACATTCAGTAACCTCTCAGCTTATCACATGAACATAACTTTTCCTGGTACAAAAGAAAACCTTTTTCTCCAATTTCAAATCGGCCTTAGTGCATAGGATGCAGATGAACACAAAGAAATTTATGCTCCCCAAATATTGTAAAGTAAGATCTTTTCCTTAAGAAAAAAAAAAAAAAAACACACATTCTTTTAGTGATTATTTTTTTTAATGATATTTTGATTTGCCTCCCTCCTCTTTCTTTGACGTTTTTGTAGACTTAAAAAAAAATCCCTTAATTATGCAATTTTACTTAAGGTCTTCTTTTCTTATGCTTTGATGCAACTTCCCTAGAAGTTTATCTTGAGTAATTTTACTTAACAATTCCATCACTGAAATGTCTAATTTTCAAATAATTTCTCAATCCCTGCCTCCAAAAAAGGTATTACTAGTTCCATTAATTTACTGAAAATGATGTACAATTCACAGTAAAAACTTCCAGTGAATATGGACTTATCTGAAATGTCTGCAACTATTAACAAGAAATTAAAGGTGAAAAGAAGACCTCAGACATTTAAAAAGTGCAGATAAATTATTTGCAACCGTATAGTAGAGATAAATAACATACTTACGGATTAATACTAGAATAGGCTGCAATGTGTCTTTTGTAGTCTTGATGCATTCATTATATCTGTCTCTGTTTTGTTATTAGAAATATTTAATTACTGCTTTGTATAGGCAGTAGATAGAAAGAGGTCTTATAATTGTTCATCAGTGAACATCATGTTCACTATTTCAACCCATTGCTGTTGAAGTCTGAAGGAGTTCAATGTCTCTTCATTTCCTAAAGAAAAAAAAAAAAAAGTGACTTTCATTACTTCAGGATGAAAAACTTGTAGCATATGTAATGATTAGAACAATTATAGTTTTATTTTGTGACTTTTCTGTGCTACACTACAAGCTTGATTAGGTCACTTTGCCAAGTTGTTTGATAAATATCTGTTTAGAGTTATGAATTAACACAAATCTCTTTCAGGCCAGACAAATATCTTTGTGGTAGCTTAGACAACGCCACAGGGATGGTGGAAAGACAACTCAGGGCCCTGTGGGCATCAGCAAGCTGTAAGGATGCCCAGCCTCAGCAGGACCTTCACCTCTACCTGGACTCCTTGGTAGAAACTTCCTGGCCCCAGTCCAGTCCCTCACCATGACATGGGCTGCCACAAACCGAGACCAGCCCCCATCTCTACCCACCCTGCCCGGAGGCTGTGGAACAGCCCAGCTTCCTGGCTGGTCCGGTCATGGTGGGGCTGCCAACCTCCAGCTCACTCCCCCTATTCAGCAGCCCTGCAACCCTGAGAGACACAGTAAAATGCTATTAAGGTATCTTTAGTAAAATATGCTGGTTTTACTGTATCTGTGCTATTTCTCCAGTAACCAAAGGTCTGAAGGACTGTGATTTGTAAAGTACAGCCTCCCATTACAGCTTTAAGAGATCTTCTATGGAACAGCCTGGCTTATGTTACATTCAGCATCCCAGAAAGAAAGATAAATCTATACCAAATATTGACAATTTATTATTAGTTGTAATTGCTAGCTTTAATATTTGTTTTTAAGGGAACTATATTGGAGCTAAGCCTATTTAACACCTTCATCAACAGGCCAGACAATGGGAGATAGTGCATCCTCACAACGTTTTCCAGTTACACTAACCTGACAGGACCAGGTGATGTGCAGGCTGGCAAGGCTGAGGTGCACAAGAAAGAAGAGAAGCAAAAAGTCCAAAAATACAAAGAAATATATTCATAAAGACTGGAACAATTTCTCCAGAATGCCTATACTCAGAGATTTTCAAAATATGAATGGGGAAGGACCTGATTAACCTCATTCAAATTTGAAGTTAGCCTTGCTCCGAGCAGGAATTGAGCAAAGAACCTGCAGAACCCCGTTCCTCTTCCATCCTCACGTTAAGATATCACGCTTCAATGACTGTTCCTCTGCATTACAAACCAAAGCACTTAATGCTCAGGTGAACTCTCCTACAGAGAGTATCACTTGTAAAATATTCTCCTATGCCAAATATCAGAACTTCTATTTAATTAGAGATTAATTTATGTCTCTAGGCATTTTGTACTTTTACAATTAACTGACAATTTCATTTATTCATGTCAGTCTTGTAGAAAAGTGGGACCTTTTTAAACTCTGCTGAGTTTTGGTCTTTAACTGGTATCTTGTGCCAACACATTATTCAGAATTTGTATTAAAAGCAATTATTTAATCAATTTTTATTTGCAAGCAAAAAGGACTATATGTTTGCATTAGAGTATAGATGGCAGGCTGAGAGCAACAATGGTGAGATATAAACAGTTATTAAGGCACAGTCCCTCTTAAATGAGAAATGACAGATATGGCATTATATACATTTCAGTGGTTTGCGAAAAGCGAACAAACTTCACGCTTAATGATTTTGATTGGCACAAATAAAATGAGGCAAATAAAATTAGATCCCTTATACAAAGTTTCTGTTAAAATGTGAGAAGAAGGACAAGTCAATAACCCACTTCCAAGCAAAAATAAAACTACACATTCAAGTTTTCCTGTGAGGTTGAAGTTTAGGAAGAATAAGGACCTACATGGACACAGTATTCAAAACAAACAGACAAACAAACAAAAACCACCACATGCAAACCAGCAGTTGGGGAAAGTCAGGAAAGAAAGGGACAAACGTCTCTTTTTCAAAATATAAAAAAATTACATTAAAAAAAAAAAAAAAAACCAAAACCCTGATTTGGCTCACCTCAAAAAATCACACTGATTTTTCAGAATCCTCTGTCTCTTAGAACACCAAGACATACTTGTTGCCAGTGTCCAGCATCTTCACTAATTGTACTAATTTTGTAGTAGAACAGGAGATCAATCAGGAGAATTGTAGGCATTATTTATGTTCATCTGCTATCTTTTAGATAACCATCTCTTGCCTACTGCAGTTTCCCCAAACCACAGAAATAGTAGTAAGAAAGTGGGTGCATCTGTTACAGGTAGTGGGGAGAATGAGGCACAGCAATGACTCTGAAGGTCTGAGAAAATGACATTCTTTCAAGTCTGAGAGTACTTTATACCCTAAAAAGTAGTTATCACATTTTTCCAAAAAGCAGTGTTGGCATTTCCAAGACAGTCACACAGACAACTACTCCGACTTAATATGCCGGTTCTCTGTGGAAGAGTATGGTCATCCCATGAGTTATCTTGGTCTTCATTCCATAAGCAAACCTTCACTGACATTAATGTCCTCCTGAGAAATGTCCATTTCAAACTGGTACTTTTTAGCAGGAGGAAAAAAAAAAGTATTCGGCAAACAATCTTACAGTGCTGCTCTCAAAAGTCAGAAGACAAACAGTCATGTTAAAGTCTTGTGGGTGAGAGTTATTTAATTAATGCTGTTGTGCCCTTTATAAACCAGCCTCTGAATAAAGGGCACAGGGAATGAATTAAGAACTGAGAAGTCAAGACAGACTTCTATTAAAACAGAGAGAGAGAGAGAGAAGAGAGATACTACTGTTACTTTCTGGTAAAGATCTTCAGAGACAGGTTAGTGTACTAATAGATTACTAGTTTTTATGCACTGAGAATAGAGTTCCTTGATTATATTAGTTGAATCCACTTGCATCCAGAATCTAACAATTTTAAGAAAAAAGAGCTATTAGAGTTTCTATCATATTCTTAATCCTGTGCAAAATATCACATTTCTGCTTTCTATTTCAGAAGGGAAAGCAGACAAACAATAAATGCAAACAATATACAAATGATTCGTATACCAGAACAGGTAATTTGCTGTTTCTGGTCTTACTACAGTGGCAAGGCAGAAAACAATGGTGGTATTTTGGTTCCATTACTCAATAAAAGTGGTTATCTTGTGGTAACCAAATATGTTGTTTTTCTATAACCACTACCAGGCAGGAACATAAATGCCATTTACATTTTTTGATCTTTTTTCCCCAAGATCTGAACAGGGTTGCACAAAGGGCTTGCAAAGTGTTTCAAGATTTTAGATGCGGAACATACTGATGTCAATAATGAAGTAAACTAGTTCTAACTTGTAGTACATCATACAAAAACAACAACTTCTCCTGGGAGACAAAAAAGTAAGGTTCTTTCAACTTCAATATAAACTTTTTGCTTAGAATAAAACTACTTAAAAGTTCCACTCTATCAGTTCTGTAACATGAGACTTTCTGCACAAATGAGTAGCAATGCAGGGAGGTATTCTTGATTTGTCCATGAGAATTTCTCTTATTTCAGAACAAAAAGTGATCATTGCTATTTAGAGAAAAAGGAGTATCAAGAAGACAATGTTTCTATAGCAACAAAACTTCCTCATTCCACGTTCCTATTCACACTAATTGTTTCATTCTTAGCCACTTCTGGCATTTTGCAACCAATAAAAAGGCTAACAAAAATTACTTCCTACATTTGTACAGTTAACTCCTCAAATGTGCCTAGCAGGCTGGAACTTGCATTAATGGCAGTTACTCTGTGATCATTAGTTGTATGGCAGAGTAGAAGTGGTGTTATCATAATTTTTGCACTTTTAAAACAGAAATCTTCAGTGTTGCTGGAAAACTGAATGCAGAATAAACTCAAATTCATATGCAGAACAAATTCCAGTGGACTAGATTTGGCAGTAAGAGACATTAGCAAAATGGAAAAAAAAATAAAAATAATAATAAAAAAAAAATATATATACACACACACACACATATCACTTCTCATTTAGATAGCTAATTTTTCAAATCTGTCTCATTATGAATTTCTGTTCATTAAATATCCTCTTTTCTCACTGGGAAAACCTGTTTTTATACCCATTCAAAATAAATGGGTGCTTTATTTTAGCCTTTCCCCGGCAAGTACTCCTAAATATTCACAAAGTTATCCCTTTTGTATTCCTTCTTGTTCTTCTGTGGTATAATGTCCACAATAAATAAATAAAGTTTCTACAGTACATGGTATAGAAGTCTTCACTGGTGCCTGATCTTTTTGCAGGATGAATAGCAACTCATTTTTATAGGCTATTACTTAGTGACATACATTTTGTGATACCAGCACAAAGCTATCCAGCTGTCAACATCAGTTCTGGTAGTATGATGAAGACTATAATTGAAGAACATTTTTAAAATGCTGCTGAGAGTTGCAAGAGAAATCCACAAAGAACTGATTCAGTATTTATGCCTTGCTCTAATGGAAAGAAACGTGTTGGTTTTTTTTTAATTAATTTCTGAATAAAAACATATTCTAGGATTTGTTGCCCAAGTCTGACAAACTCCTTTTTACGAGGGTTATTTGAAATTAGTCACCCAACCTTCCTACTTAATTGCCTTAAATAATGCTGAAAGCATTATTCTCATACTGTAGTGTAGTGAAAATGGGAAGATGGAAAAAGTTCAACTCACACTCCTTGAACTGCTTGACCCTGAACAGGATTTTCCCACATATGCAGCAGGAAGCATGTATCAACAATAAGAATTTTTTAATCGTGGAGAATTAGATTCCCATACTGAAAAGAATGATGTGGAGAATATTTTTTTAATTGGCAAATGGTGCATCTATGAATCTATGGTTTTCTGTATTTTTTAATAAAGCCTTTTAAGAGCCATGCAGTACTGATAAGAGATATATGAAGAGCTCTGGAACTTTGGACAAAGCTTTTTAGCTGCTCCAAAATGCAGCTAAGTCCCCAAAAGTGAATGGATTTATGAAATATCTCTATTCAGCTTAAAAATCCTTGCTTCTTTTAGAAAGTTACTGCATTTTAAATTGTATAAAAAGTCAATAGAAGCTGGTGCAGAC